AAAATCTATGTATTGATCTCTCTCTCTCCCTCCCTCCTTCCCTCCCTCCCTGGACATTTTTGAATTAAGATAAGTTGTTTTTCATTGGTCAGTGACGATAATATGTGTTTTATCACCACTTTTAGGAGGGCAAATGTCATCAGGGCTCAAAGCCTGCACAATGTGCCTATCTGAAGACCGGTCAGATCTTCACCACTGGATTTTCGAGAATGAGTGAGAGACAATATGCTCTATGGAACGAGGTGAGTTAGTTTTTTCTGATGCTCTCTTATGTAGCTATTTTTTATAACTGTACTACCAAGAATAGGAGCGGTCTCTCTCCGCTTTTGGTTCCGATTGACGTCATGAAATAAAGCTGCGGGTGGTTTGAAGGTGCCACTGGTAGGTCTTACTTCTTTATTTTCCCTCTGTTGTTTCTGTTACCCTGTCTGTCTTACTTTTTCCCCACACATAATGACCATTATTGTGTCAATGTGATTCCTGATTTTCTTTACTCAAACATGTAGATTAAAGCTTTGTTGACCTTCTTAATTTTAATTCCATGGCAATTATTTTGAAGGATTTTTTTTTTCGGGGTTGGAACAGAAATGTACAGAAAATCGTTATTCTCAAAATTGCTAGTGAAAGTAGAGTTTAACTATTCTTATACTCAGGAACTAGAACAAAATGAAACCTAAGCGAGCTCAGATGAAATGGCTCAGGGGACGATTGTTTGAAGGCTTATAGAGAAGAGTTTGCTAAGCATTTATTTTCTGCTCTTGTGTGTCTGATACAGTATGACCGTGATATGTGTTCCACAGAACGACCTGAGTTCTTCCGTCGTTATGGAGGAGATTGACTCCAGCAACGGTGTGATGTTCATTTTCTACGACCCTGACACCGGCATGGTCTACCTGGCTGGCAAGGTGAGAGGCATAGCTATGTTTATCCCTTGTATATCTCCCCAACCCCTCCCCCCTCCATTTCTCCCTGCCCCCACTACTTCCAGTCTTCCTCAATCTGCACTGTCAGAAAGTTCCACACTCGCCACCTCATCATATCAACTCCTTTCGTAATGAATATTCCGATAGTGTTGACCCATCAGTATTCTATATCAACGGATCCGTACTTGTCTCAGACTCTTTTCGGTTAAGTTCTTATATTTACAGTAACACTCGTTAATTAGTTGTAAGCCTTTTAGAAACCTGCCACATTGTGTACTTCGTGCACTGGGCCATTGTCCTGCTATGTATTATTAGGGGTTGATTGGCAGCTGTACATTTTCACTTGCAAATAGGCTAAAATCTGGCTAGTCCTGATAGCAAATTTTGGTGCCACTTTCTCATTTCTCTCATCCACTCATTCTTTCTGTCTATCTTCGGATCTTTGCTGTGTCTGGAAAATCTATGTATTGATCTCTCTCTCCCTCCCCCACCCTATCCCATGTTACAGTCTCTCTCCCTCTCTGTCTTCCCTTCTCCCTCTCTACCACTGTTCCTCTCTCTTTAACTGTGTGTCTCTGTCTGCCTTTTGATGTCTCCATCCTTCCATCCATCCATCACCTCCCTCCTCTCTCTCTTTCTATCTATCTCCCCCCATTCCTCCCTCTCCGTCCATCCATCCATCCATCCCTCCATCCATCCCTCCATCCCTCCGTCCCCTCCTCTCTCTATTTCTCACTCCCTCTCTCCTTCCACCCTCTCTCCCTGTCTAGATTAGTGGTCTAAGTTGTGTTGAGGGGGGGGGGGGGAGAGAGAGAGAGAGAGAGAGAGAGAGAGAGAGAGAGAGGGGGGGGGGGGGGGAGGGTGTGTAAAACCGTAATGTTACAATAATTACTGAAACTAGCCACCGCTCTGATTCCATCCTCCCCCCGCATGCACACAGGGAGACAGCTTGATCCGCTACTACGAGGTGACAGATGAGGCCCCCTACGTGCACTACCTGGCCCTCTACCAGTCCAACTCCCCGCAGAGAGGCATCGGCTACATGCCCAAGCGAGGCCTCAATGTCAATAACAATGAAATTGCCAGGTAGGCAATAGTTTGTGCAGACAAATATGATTCTTTTATATTTTGATCGAGTCTTAAATGTTAGTATTTGTGCAATTTGCATATATATATATCTGTGTTTGTGGAGACAAATCTAAATTAAAGTTTAAAAGTAATGTTTTTCATTTTTTATTTATGGAAAACATTTTTTGGTTAAAGTTTCAATGTGCAAGATGAAGTTGTCAGGTCAATTGAAATTGCTCTGTTGAGGCTTCTATGTAAATGACCATTAAATTTCCAGGGAAGATGTACTTCCTAAAACAGATCTTTCACAGTCAGTTTAGTTCTCTTTGTTGAATGTATTGATTTGGTTATGTGTGGTATGTGTGGTGGAGGGACACACCACCTGAACATGTGTGCGCATAAATACACAGGTTTAATACTCACTTTTGTGCATTCTCTCCAGCTCTTTCTTTCCTTTCTCTTAACAGGAAGCAACAAATTCATAAAATCTGAAAGAGCCCAGCTTTCGAAGTAATTCATAAAAGAAAGACAATCGCTGAGATATCTCTTCTGTTTGAGATCATACTATAAAAGTTTCTTTTTTTTTTCTCCCTCTTCCGTGAACAGGTTCTACAAACTTCATAACAACGGCCTTTGTGAGGTCATTCCATTCACTGTGCCACGTAAGGTGAGGCATAATGCTACTTCTTTCTACAGTGCATATGATAAGATTAATCTTTCTTTTCCAGAATCTGGCTCATTGAATGGCTAGATGTGACAATAGCATAACGTCCTTTTAACCTGATTTTCTAAGGATTAAAATGTTGTATGGATTAAAACAGTGTAAAGTTCTGTTTCTGAATGTTCAGAGTACGTTTTATTATCATTAATAACTGTGTGATATAAATTGCAGTTGCTCTGTCTTTATTTTCATCCTTCAAAATGTTTTTGTGCTTTTATTTATTTATTCTTTCTTGTACATTTTTTAATGTCATTTTATGTGCGTTATAGCTTCATGTTTTCAGTTAATTAAGTATTTGTCGCCTACCTTTTTGTGTAGTCTGAGCTCTTCCAAGACGACTTGTACCCGGACACTGCCTCTGACGTGCCGTCCATATCAGCCGATGACTTCTTTGACGGGAAGAACGCCAAGCCCCTACTGGTCAGTACAGTGCCCAGTGTGTCTCATCATTGTCCTTTTCTTTGATTTTGTTTGGGGATAATTGTGATTAGCGGATGTTGTGGTGTAGTTTGCTCTCTCTTTGGTATCTAACATCAGTCGTCCTTATCTCTTCCTTCTTTTCTTTGTATGTTACTCTCTGGTAACACATCTAATCTTTGACACTTTAATAAGCTATTTTTGTTGAAAGTTCTGTAAAACTCTTATTAGAGCTTAACTCTTTGAGGATACTGTTTTGTTGATAAACCATCTCATATTCTACTCCTCTAGATAATATAGTGTACCAATGAAGCATTATGTGGCTGCGGACGAATCATAATTTTAAAAAAAGTACCCCCCCCCCACCAAAAAAAACCCAACCTGTACCATGGGAGATATATGGGTTACAATGGCATAATATACAATACATCTGTAACAAAATTCGAAGGTTACATTTATGTCATATAACATGATGCAGTATAGCACCAATATGGGTAGAATGACGAAATGTGCCGTTACTGTACACCGCCACCTGTGCTTGGGCCGCTGGGAAACTGAGGAAAATAGGACATGGTTCCCTTCCAAGGCTTACAACGCTTTGTCTTACAATTTTTTTGTTACTAGTGCTGTGACTTACCATTTGACTAGGACAGAATATCAATGGGTTCCTAGTGTTTTTCTTTCAATGCAAAAGGGATATCTTGAGGCAGGTGGCGGAAGAATTCTTAACTCTTAGCAAACGGCGAGTCAGAACAGCCGGGGCACAGCATCGCTCTGTTGTTTTTGTTTAGTTCTAATAGAAGTTTTACGGCGCTCGCTACTGCATAAGGTCATATGAGCACCAGAAGATTAGAGGTGTTACAAGAGAGTAACAAACATAAAAAAGAAGAAGGGGAGAAAAGGACGATAGATGTTTCATAGGAAAGAAGAAGCAAACCACACCAGAGCACCCGCCAACCACCCACGTTGTTTAGTCATAACAAAAATCATCAAAACCCCAGCATATTCATCTTGTCTATAATAAAAGTGTGTGTTTATTGCGAAGATTATTTTCTTCTCGGTTTGGTGTTTAGTTTATGCAAATATGTCAATTAGACGCAGGGTTATGAAAAAGTTTGTGATGCTGAAAAGTTGGATGACAAAATTGGCTCCATAGTCTGAATAGCCTTCTGTATACTAAGAATTAACATTTTTGTTTCTCACAACTGGGAAGTGTTTCGGTGTTTAGGAATGAATGTTAGAGTGGGGAATTTTTATATCTTTGTCTTTTGTTCCGTGGTCACTCCAGGTTTCGCTGAAGGGAGGATTTGCGTCCAGCAAAAAGGAAATACTGAAGGTGCAGCGGCGATCCAACATCTTGGACAAGATGCCGGCCAAAGCACAGCAGCAGTCCAACAACGCTGAAGCTGCCGCCGCCCCCGCTCTGCCTCCTGTAAGTCACCACTGTTGTGTGCTGGGTCGTGGACCGCCATTGTTCAGGCTGGGGTGGGCACGGTGATTGTATTGGTCTTTTTTGTGGGTCCTCAGTACTTGAAATACCCATTTTTACCCCGCTCCCATCTTCTCTCTTCGTGCATCAATGGTGTGGGGATTGGGTCTTTGCCCTTGCAATCAAAAGACATGACTTCGAGAAGACATGGAGTTCGATTTGTGCTTGGGAAGGTGGTTTTTAAAAATTTTAATGGCATACCACCATCTATCTGCTGGAATATTTTGTTCCACTAAGCCGAGGCTGGGTCTGACAGTCAGGTTTGAAGAAGCCAGACTCTAAAGCCATTGATCTAAATTGTGTTGATGGGAGTGTAAAACACAAGACTTGCTGTAATTTGAAAAAGAATACTTTGCTGTGTAAATTTCATGTCTGTGGGGTTGAACTTTAGTAAAAAAAATAGACTCAGGTGTTAAATGGATGAGTTGATGGTGTTATTATGTGCCTGAGAAATGAGGACAATATAATGAAGCCATGAACTATTTTTGGCATCTGACAATTTCCAACTGGTAGAGTGGTGGGATGTTGACATGACATGCACAATTCTTGGCATGCATATTCTGTCATCTGTAGTTGTTTTTTGTTTTTTCTTCTTCTCTTGACTTGATGCACCTGTCAGGATTTTCAGGCTAAGTGGGAGTGCCTCTCTTTTTTAAAGAGATTTTAGATTTGGGTTTGGCTCCGGGTCCAAAATGATTGAATGTTTCAGAAAAGATGCAATACTCTAGATTAATTTTTAGGTCCTGGTATTCTGATAATCCATTCTCAATCCTTAATGACCTGCTTGATGAAGATATTTTAAGGTCCACCCGATGAAATAGATTTGTAAGCTATAGAACAAAATCTAGTATGGCATCCTTATTTCACTGTCCTCTGGTTGAGATAAATCAGGTCTAATATTTTCTTAAAATGGAGTGACCTCGAGTTGGGATCCATATTTGTCTCTGTTCACATTTGGGTGATCAGAAAATGATAAAACTTGACTTGGCCTTTAACTCAGGTTTTGTGCTATTTGAGGTGTTTTTGACAAATTATTACTAGGAGCAAGTGTGGCGACAACTTATAATTTATGATTTTGAGAAACAAAAATTTAACCTTATAACTTACTGCTTCGAATAATCAACAAATAATCAGTGGTCCGTTTGATGGAATGCAAAATTGAACTTAAAGGGGTTATTTTGTTCTCAATTTTGTTTAGGACTTTCAAAGACCTATGTTTTGGAAATTCTGATATAGAAAATTCACTATCTTGATTGGTTTTTGTATGGGATAAATGAATGAGATGCTTTGACCTTTTCTAAGTCCAGCTTTCCCTTAACAACAACCCTGTCTCTTTTATTTCTTTCTTTTCACCGCGGTTGAGAATGGAAAGATTTCGTTTTTAAAAAAAAATTTCTCACTTATTTTAGTAATTTTTTGCTTGTTTGGCTCGAGTATTTATAATTTCTTTGACTCATTTTGATTTTGTTCTGTTTTCTGTTTTTAGCTCATCTCTTTCTGATTTGGCCGGCAAATTTAATGTCTTGGTTAAAAAGATTGCGAGGTGTAAAAATGGTCTTGTGAAAAAATATTAGCACTGTGAATTTTAGTACACCAGGAAGCTATTTGTTGAATGTACCTACGGTTTACAGATTGAACAGTTTATTTGTTTTCATCATGAACTTCTTACTGTTTACTAAATTATTGTGTTCTCTCTTGTTCGTATCTTTCTTTATGCTTCATTATATGTGTCTTTGTTTATTTGAGTTGTTGGGCTTGTTTTTATTATCCATCGTTTTAGACTTGACAGATGCAATCTTGATCTATTTTCACATACTTCAGAAGTGAAGTGATCTGTTCAAGAAGTAAAGAGGTGGTCAGTCTTCAAATTGAAATAAAAATTTAAAAAAAAAAAAAAAATCCAAAACAAACTTGCCTTTTCTTTCAAATGATCAGTAAATTGTGTAAGGAGGGGATCATATTCTTATGATGCAAGAAAAGGTTTTGTATAAGATTTTGGTAGCAAGGTTTATATGGATTGTTCCTAGGGTTGATAATATTTCTTTATTTCTGTTTGTGAAAGTCCAGTCGATGCCAGCGCCATGAAAATCTTTAGACATGGTTTACAAGGAGTTGATTTACAATGGCCATTTATATTAATCTGTTATTCTTTTCCACTAGCTTTCTTTCAGAATGTGAGAAAAGCTGTTTATGGAAAAGGGGTCGTCCTGTCTCCCCTTAGTAACCCCGTAGGATATACTGTTGCTGTTGCAAAAACTATCAGTTACTTTGTTTTCTGAACTCGTCGCTTAAAGCAGGGTCAGGAGAAGTTGTTTATTTTGCACCAGCAACTATATTCTCCTGTTCCATGAATAGATTCTGTTAATTGTTTGATAAAATGACTATTCACAACGTTGGTTTAGGTTGTAATTTATCTTTGGCTTTTCTTTGGTTGTGGATCACTTTTTTTTTTTCCAAGCAAAAATGCCAGAGTAGACTGAGATTCTGGGTGAACTGTACTTACACCTTCGGCTTTTTCCAAATTTTTTCTCCCAAACTTGTTCTTCTAGCTGATTAATGTTTCCTGAGTTCTGAACTGCGAAGAAAAAAACTGATAAGGGAAAGTGCATCATGTATGTTGTTATGCTCATTTATTCATCTTCATATTTTTGTGTTTGCCTTCTTTGGACAAAAATGTATAGAAATACAATATTTCCCCTCCCTTTTTATATGAGTGTGCCAGTGTTACAGTTTATAGTAGAGTTTAAGGAAGTCAAACAGATGATAGTTTCATCATACCCAAAGAAATCCTGCCAAATACTCCAATCAGAAAGACGATCGGGCAAGTAAGAAGGAAACTCAAGCAAAATCAGAGCTATCGCATTAGTTGCCTATCGGTGTGGACTTCCGGAACACAAGACAATTTAGTACTCAGCCAATAGTGTTTATACTCGACTCATGCTGGGTGTTTTGATTACCCTTAAGCTGCAAATACCACAATACAGGAAATAAAAGGTAGAATCGACTGTTGAAAAGTGTGTACTGAGCTCTCCAGAAATGAAAAATTGTATAGTCTCCTCAGTTGGGTATATTGTATACAAGTATCTCACAGCAAAGAAGCTGCACTACAGGTTACCCCCCTCCTCCCCCCAACTCGGTGCCGGACTCCCCGCCTCACACCTCATCATTCCCTGTATGTGTCATGTTCCAAACACAGGGCTTTGATCCTCAAGGCATTTTGGACGACATGCGCAAATTGAAGCTGATCGTCAAGGCGCACGAACGGCGGATTAAAACTCTCGAGGAGAGGCTCTCGCAATACGAGAGTGAAGAGGAGACCGTGGAAGATGCATAAATACTCCCCCGGGGATGTCCTTCTTTCAGAATGGTTCTTACCTCTCTTTTACTTTTGCGTTTTGTGTTCACTTTAATTATTGTTTTTTTCAATCTTCGTTTCTTCTTTGTTCTCCAATCCTGACTTCTGGAGTTTGCTTTTTAGTTTTATTATATCCTTTTTTCTTGTTGTGGGCCCCTGTAGTGCTCTAGTGTGTCCTTGTCTGCACTGGCATTGTGAGAAACACTAACAACTTGGAGGTGGAATGAAGAATGTAAGCAAGATCTTATGGGATGCAATGATTAAAAGATGGCTGGAAAAATTTGTATTTATTTAATTTAATGTTTATTCAGGAGACACAAGTTTACTGTGCTCATTTTCTTCATTTTCCTGTAATTTTTGTTTCTGTTTATATATCCTATTTATACTCCTTAATTTTCACAAAAATCCATTCTTTTTTATTTAACTTAAAAAAATTCTTGGTACTTTGAGAAATGGAACTTGAAATTGAATGATTGAGATTAAAATCACAAGTGAATATAGGTCTTGAGAGTAACAGAAGACTTTGAAGAATTGAAGTTGGAATACGTTGATTGAAAGCACACTTCTCTGTATGATCATCGGTCTGTACTCCTGTGGCTTACTGGTCTTTGTACACTGATGGGGGGAGCAGGATCGGGTGGAGAGTTCTATACTCCAGAGCTGTGGTTTGTGTAGTGTGTCACTGTGTGTGTGTGTGTGTGTGTGTGTGTGTGTGTGTGTGTGTGTGTGTGTGTGTGTGTGTGTGTGTGTGTGTCACTCTTTGCCTCTTTATGTGACTCTTTGCCACTCTATGTGTGTGTCACCATGTGTGTCTGTATGTTTTATATCATATGTATATCTGTGTGTGTGTGTGTCACACGTTGTGTTTTTGTGTATCACCTTGTGTGGGTGTGTCTGTGTGTTTGTGTCACCTTGTGTGTGTGTGTGTGTGTGTGTGTGTGGGTTTGTATGGGGTTCTGTATTAATGTAGTTTACGGTAACTCAACTCTCGGTGTTTGTTGCTCCATCCCTGCAGTTACTCTAGTGCGACTCAATACACTTGCTGTGGGAACCACCATCATACTCTAGCCAAATCCTGTTATGTGTAGTGGTGTTTGTAAACTTAACAACCCCCCCTCCACCCCACTCCACACCCACAAGGCGTCATGTTCTTACCGTAGCCATGTGTAGTAGACCTGTTCACTGTACTACTAATAAAGCCGTAGTGCCAGCGTAGCTGTTTGTCGGTACCAGCATACTTTTGCACTTTCTCCCTGTAGATGGATCTCCTCAGGGCTGCTTCATAAGGCTTGGGTGGTTTGTTTCGCAGCCGTTTGTGCCTGGATTTGATCTCCCGCTGGACCCAAGATGGTTTTTAGTTTTGACCTGCGCTGGTTCCCTGTCGTGGGTGGTTATCGGGCATCATTTCGTCAGGAGGTCCTACTTCTTTCCTTTCCTTCTTCCGGGTGGTTGAAGGGCACTATTGGTAGAACCTTAGTCTTTATTTTCCTTCTGTTGTTTCTGTCTATCTTACTTTTTCCCAGCACTAAATAACCATTATTGTGTCGATGTGCTTCTCTTTACTCAAACAAACTGTCCTTGTTTCTGTCTGTCTGTCTGTCTGTCGGTCTTGGCTTCACTCTGTCCTTAATGTCGGTTATTGTGTTGATGTTCTATTTACTCTCTTTCAATCTCAAGTAAGTGTTTGTCCATTTGAAGTCCGTTGATTTGTTTGTGGGGTCAGTTTGTTTTTTAGATACAACAGGTTCTTTCAGTTTGGGACCTTTGTTTCCACTCTTTTTAACTACAACTTGTTTTGCACTCAGTTTGGGCATATCAAGCTTCTACACTTCACACCCATATCAACACATTTGTTTATTTTTCATTTTGTTACGGGCAACTTCAGTCTACTCTTCTACATACAGTCATTTCTTTCCGTATTCCTTCACTTCAGCTTTTTTGTGTTTTATATTTCCCTTCTTTTTCTCTTATCAGTTTTTTCTTCTTTATTAAAATATTTTTTTTTCTTAAACTCCCCCCCCCCCCCCGCCCTCGGCTCATTTTATCTTTAATATATATTTATTTTATATCTCCATGAAGTTGAATTGGCTCTTTCAATGGGCTTTTGATATTTCACCTTTGGCTTAAGTCCTCACATGTTACTTCCTGTCAGTATGTATTTGTGTATGTATTTGTATCTCTGGTTCATTCTTGCTACAGATTATTTTGCCAGTCGCAAGGGGCTGTTGATTGACCAAATGAGGGCCAGCCCACGCCATTTCAGCGTTCTAGTTTGGTCTAAGTCTGAATTTATTTCTCTCCCTTACCAGGCATGTTTTACGCCTCTTCCAGCCCAGTGTCTCTATGTTCCGAGTACTTCTTCTAGTGACTTAAGCCATGTCTAGTAGGGTCTTTCTTGTCACTTTGTTACATTTTTGAAAATGGCAGATGGCACAGGGTCTTTCCTATCAAACATCTATCGTCCTGATCTCATTTTCTTCTTTTTTGTGTTTGTATCTCTCTTGTAACACCTCTCATCTTCGGCTCTAATATGACTTTATTGTGTTGCAAGTGCCGTAAAACTCTTACTAAAACTAAACTAAGGGTCTCTGTGTTTGAGTAGTCCTGGTGGTGCTTTTACAAGGTACAACTTCAGTTCAGTCTTGTACCTGTACATTAATAGTATAATAGACTATAGTTGTCATTGGTCGTAGAACATCTTTAGCAGGTCGCTTGGGTGTTTGGGTGGCGGTAGTTGGAGGGTGCCACTGGTAGGTCCTACTTTTCTTTCCCTCCATTCTTTCTGTCTATCTGTCTTGCTTTTTCCCCTGCTCTAAATGACCATTATTAGCTTGATGTACTTCTCTTTACTCAAACTCAAAATGTGATTGGATGGGTGCCTTTGGCAGGTCCTCCTTTTCTTTGCGTCAGTACTTCTGTTATTCTGTCTTGCCTGAATTCTGTCAATGTTTTTCTTTGTACTGTACTCAAACTAACAAGGTTCTTTCTTTTCAGCACCTATTGTCTAGTCTGCTCCTAGTTTTCTATTATGATTAGATTTCTTCGACAATTGCTACTTCGGTGATTTGTATGCCAGCAGTTTATTAGTTAATTTGAGTTATAGAAAAGAAGCATTCGTATGTGGCTGGTAGGCACCACTGGCAGGACTGACATTATTTGCTTTTTGCCTGATGTGAGGGACTTTATATAGAAGTAGTCTTGATACAAAATGTATTTGATGATGTAATCATAAATTTTGAGCCCCAGCGCTTGTGTTTCCACGGGGTCAGAAAGGGTCAGGATTTTTTCATTGCCAGTTGCCTTTTCTGTTTCTGTCATTTCCCACTGTCTTTCTTGCTTCTTCTTGCGGTACATGACTGTTGTTGTGGCAGGGTACTTCTCTTTACTTAGACAAAGGAACGGAAACTAAGAAAGGAAGCGTCTCATTTGAAGACTGGCATTGGCATGCATGATCAAGGAAGCTCAGCCTGTTTTTGCTACCTTGATGCTGGAGGAAGTAATGCTTTGCTTGTTTGTTTGGAGCTGGGCTAGGAAGCTGGTTATCTGATAGAGCAAAGTGCTGTGTGTAGGACCTTACCTTCTACACGTGAACTGTGCTTGAGAGATGGTTTCTTCGGGTGGTCAACATCCTTTTTTGTGTGTAGGGTGCTGCTTTAGAACTGTGTCAATCACCATCATGGGCAGGTGGGGGGGGGGGGTTATCAGTAAGGCTCTTTGTTCTTGAACACAGATGTGAGCTTCATCCTAAAGTGGGCTAGACATTTTCTCAATTATGTCTGTTTGGCTGGTGGGATGCTGAATCCCTCTCAGACGGGTAAAGGATCTAAATTCTGATTATGGTTTGTAAAACATTATGCAGTTGCGAGCGCCGTAAAAACCTTACTAAAACTAAACTAAAACATTTAAAGTCGTAATCATACTTTACTTTGATTGATTGCTTGAGACAACCTGTCGTGTCCAACAAGACTCAGAATGTGACGTCTCAGCTTGTTGCTCTGAGACTGTAAACTGGTTCACATGATCCTATTCTCTTGGTGAAATGGAGTACATTGTTTATGATCTAATAAGATAGTTTCATGATTCCCAGAAGTAATAAAGGTTTTCTATTTCTGTTCTTAATAAGACTACTATTTTAATTTGTTTCAGTTTTGATAATATTATTGACCAACAAAGCTTTGAGACAATCATTCAACTCCATGTGATCAAAATTTTAAAAAGAAAAAGTTTCTAAAGTCTTTCACCTATTAACATGAAATTATGGTTTCTTGTTAAGGTGTGTCATGTTAACATCTTCTGACAAGTAACGGCATTGGCTTGGAGATAAAGGACGAAAGAGTAACTGGTGATAAGAGACTTTTGATCTTTTTTTATAACTACTCTTTTGTCATACTTCTCTCGGGCTAGCATGGTCCAATGCTGCCTTTGGTGTTACTTATATGCAAAAAATGCACTGTTTCCTTTTTCTCATGGCTAACATTAACGTTTGCGATTTGTATCTTGCCATGATTTGATCTTATTCTAATTGCATTTAATTTCAATTGTGAAAGGGTGCTTTGTTAATCTCATTCGTGGCGCATTTTGATGTCTCAGCAGTTGACTTTTAAATTGATACAAAATCTAAAGGATATACTGGCAGTATACTATTTTGTGGGGAATCGTTCTCATACAGAGGTATTCTACAGTTGGGAGTTTTATTTGAAAGAAAGCTTGACAGGTTTTCATTCGTTTGCTTTTTGATGGGGTTTTTATGAATGTTTTTTTTTAGAGATTGTCCTTCTTTGTTCTCTTTTCCTAATGTAGAAAAATCAATGAGTGGTCACTCTGTTCCTTCTTACAAAATAAAGAAAGTGCAGGGTTTTAGTTGAAATAGTATAGGCCTATTATTGTGTCCTGGGTTCTTTGTCTCTTTCTGGCATTAAAGAAACAATCACTGCTGGGTACTTTTTCTTGCCTTGTAACCCAAAATTGGGACTTTTATTTCAGATAACATAACAGTTGTAAATTAATTTGATTTCTAAGATATTTGAAAACTACTCTTTAGGACTCTCACTGTTATTATAATGAGGCATTTTTTTCGTTGAAATGATTTTATTTCGTGCTTTTTGATAATTATGTGTGATGGATGTTGAAAACAGTACTTAAAAGAATTCACCCACGTATCAATCAGAATTTTTACTTGTGGGTCTTTATTGTTCTTGCTTCTGCAGGAAAAATGAGTAGCTCCAATACTTTTTACTTGTCCTATAATGCAAGGTGTAAGGGATTTAATCAATCGATAGTCTTGTATGATAAGGAAGCAGCATCATGTGAAAGAAAATGTTGCTCTGTCTGACTTTGTAAGTAAAGTAAATCATTGCATGTGCTGCTACATACTCAGCATGTTGCTCGGAATAGTAGATTGGTGGTTGCTGATGACTCATACCATGTGACCTTTACCGTATGGGTGTCCCGGCTGTTGTGACCGCTACCATTCATCATGTTACTGACACTGCCTGCACGACAGCTGTAGCGGGATGCGTGCGCGACCCCCACCCCCCTCCCAAATATATTCCCGATCCTTGGTTTCTGATGTTGTGACAGTTTCTAATTGGCACAATTGATTTTCTTGCTGTAATGACTCCCGCAGTGTAAATCAAGCGTAACAGATTACAAGACTTATGTTTTTCTTTAGAAAAGGCAGTAGTTTGTTGAAATAATCCTTGTGATAAAATAGTTTAATCGGCTTTCAAGTTTTGCCATGTTGTTTTAAAGAGTATTGTCCAGGTTTGTTAATTTAATTTCCTAATAAAAGATTCATCTAATGAAGAGGAATATGTGTAAATAAAATAACAGTACAGCCTTAAAGTGCATTTTGCTTCTTTTTTCTTTTTGAATTAAAAACTCAGAAGTTCTTAAAAAGAGAGAGCAATTAACAGTAGGCTCAGTTCTTATCTTATTTATTCTTTTTTTCATTGACAACAGCAATCCGGCAAAGTGGATGGGGTGGATGTGAAAGAGTTGATGAAAGAAGTGACTGAGCTCAAGGAAAAAGTCAACGCCCAGGACAAGCGCATCGGGGAGCTGGAGACGCGCCTGGCAGCTTTGGAGACGAGCAACAACACGGACGAGGAGGAGGTGGCGTAGATAGGAGGCGCGGGGCCCAGCGCCTGTTGTGTACAGTACGGCAAAACCTTGGTTGTGCGTACTCTCTGTGGGACCGCGTGCGCTTTTTGTTACAAAGTACACGGTTCTACGTCTTCCAGTCCCGGGGTAGCTTCCTTTACTTACGGTTGCTATGATTTTTTTTTTTTTTGATTAAAAACATCTTTTTTTTTTTTGTTGGTGTTTTTGTAACGAGGGAGAGGGGGTATGCCGTACCGAGGTTTTGGTGTATTTCTCCTAGGGGAATGACACGCATGCTATGACAATAACGTCTGTAGGGCAGCTTTTTGTCAAAGCTGTGACTTTTGACTTATCATCATCCAATTGTTTAGTTGTAGTACTGAGGTGAGTGTGAGTGGATGTTGTTGCCTTCTGTTTTATGGTTTGCCCCCAAAAAAGTAACTTTTTTTTGTAATACTGGACTCTGGAGGAAGGATTGAGAGCGTATTCTTTGAGTATTATCTACATATTGTTCTAGTGAAGCTAAAAATCATCTGCATGAAAAAAGTGCCCGTATAGTGTACCATTCAGCTTTCATTTCGCATATGGTCTGACTGCTTTCATCTTGTTTGCAGTAACACTTTTATCAAGGGCTCTCTGTTGTATTTTTTTTTATACAGGCTAAATCATTTCAGGTGTCAGCTCTTGTAGATTATATCCATGGAACTCAGGGTGCCCAAGACACCCTCCCCCCTTTTTTTTTTGAAAGGGCATTCTTCGTCGCTTTTTGGAGTCTTCTGTATTCAAGGTTTCCTGGTCGGTATTTCCCCCAAATGCTGTGCCTTTGAAATGAACTGTTCTGTGTCTAGCTAGTAGGGCAAAGTGGGACAGAAAATCCCAACACCCTCTTGTATATATATCTATGCACTGAAAGAATGGACACAGTCTCCCTGGCCGTGTCCTCTAGGTGCAGCTCCTCGTCTGTTACAGCTGCGGGTCTGCCCCGCCTTGACTGCTGTCTGCCACAGTGCTGGTGGTAGCTCAGTCTTTGGCCTCAGAAATGAGTCTTACGAGCCTGACTGACGGTTCAGTTGTTCCACCCGACTCGTTTTTGCGCTGACTGATTTGTGCGTTCCACGTGTGTGTAGTCAGCTTTGATCTCCAATGAAGAAGTCGACGATGCAGCATCTCTCTTCCTCTGGGTGTCTGTATTTTGTGTGTGTGTGTATGTATATAAGTGTCTTAAGCCCGGACTGTATGTGGCCTGTATATTGTCTAGAATGTTCTCCATCATTTGATGGACTTCCACTGATTTTGTTGGCTGCGTATGTGTGGGTCTGCTTATTTTCCTTTATGTTGTTGTTTCACCTATAAGGATGGACAGTTTATTCTATGTGTCTGTTGCTGATATTGAACAAAATTTTCTGTTTTGTTTTGAAGAATGGAATTTATTTACTTCTTGCCTTTTGGAGTGGAGTTTTTGTTAAGGTAGGGTTTTTAGGGTGACATCAGAGTGAATAGATGTACAAGCTTGAACTAAAACACCCCTGTGCGCGCTCCCCCCCCCTTTATCTTTCTGTTTTTCCCCAAGTCTCAGAAAAATCTTACTTTTGATGTAGAACCATGCTGTTGTGTTACTAAGTTGAAAGTTTGACTCAGAATGAACATGGGGGTTAATGAAAGTACGAAAGAGCCAGGAAATTTTTTCGGGAGTAAGAGTGACACTTAGCCTTTCTGGCGTTTTTGTGTTGAATAGGTTTACAGTCTCTTATTGAGCTGCGTGGAGTGTGACGTGGAAAGGAGCCCAGTGTGTATGAAATTTCTATCTCTGCCATCTTTGACTGTCACACAGTCAGCTCAGTTGGTATCACGCTGGGCTATATTGCGCGTGACTGCAATTCAATTCCCCGATGGCGAGTTCTTGAAATCGTGTCCTGGAGAGTTTTCAACGCTCGCTCTCCCCACCAACTTGACTGTTCTTTTGGGAATTGACGTTAAATCCAGAGGTCTGGCCCTGTTCAACATCCTTGTAGTGTTTGTAGAGGCCTTGTACCCATGCAGTGCTGTAATGATTTATTTGGTTTGGTTGCCGCTTGAGTTCTGCCCAAAGGTGGTACTTTTGTCTGTAGTTGCAGACTGCTATGTTGAAGCATAATTACACACTCAGCGAGGATCATTTGTTTTCTATAGGAGGCTATATCTTTGAGCATGCATGTTTAGGTGAAAGAGGAGTAGAAATTTATATATATGCATTAACTCTTAAATCAGTGGTCTGTCTGCTAATGGATAATCTTTGTTTTGTTTACAAAGTCAGCACTAGTTTAGTTTAATGCCAAAGGTGTGCTGGAAAGTTGTTTTTTTTCTTTGATTGGGCATTTGTTTTTGTTAATTATGGAAATGATGTGATGAAATCGGACAATTTGCCTTGTTTGTTGATTTGTATGAGATTGTTCTGACAAAGTTCTTGATTCACATTTTACTGTGCATACATGATGTTTTTTCCCCCCTCTGCCCACATGTTGGAATCTGTAAGAAACCTCAAACTATGTTGTGTTGCCCTGTGGACATTTGTTTCCAGCTCTTGATTTGCACACATTGTTCTGTCTTTTTTTTCAGGGGTTTGTCACAGATCTCTTAAAAACATACACCTCACACCATAGTATGATACTCGCACACATATTATTATGATAAGCACTTGCAAAATTTTCTGGATACTGAAGAGTGTGTACAACAAAAATACTTTGGTATACACCGCAAGGCATGAGTTTTTTTTGTTTCCTGGTCCCACTTTTGATGGTGAGTGGACCCACACTTTCTCTTTTCTCTGCCCTCTCTCTATTTTGCTGTTTGCTGACACGTTTTTGTTATAATGAAACTGGCACGGTGCTATCCTGAGTGATGATGATTGTCTTGGAAATGCAGACGTCCATGTGTGTGTGTGTGTGAGTTTGTACCCCTGAGTAGCAGTCTGTGTCTGTGTTTGGTTGGATTTTTTTTTTGGGGGG